TCAGTATTACATATACAAAGTTCATGTGCAGATATGAGCTTCAAATAAACCCAAATCCAAAATATTGGGAAACATAAGCTGTTTTCTTATTTGTTTATCAATTATGCCAATAGCAAAAGTAAATTGAACGTAATTTTTCAGTTAATTTTGGACAATAGTATATAAAAATATAGTATAATCTGTCTTTAGAGGTTGTGTGCTATTTACATTATTAGCGTAGTACTATAGAATATATTTTTAAGTAATAAAAATTATACAGAGCCAAACTTATTTTTATTTTGTTTTAATCGCAAGCTAGTGAGAAAGAAATAGGAAACGTACAATATCGCTGCTCTTTTCATGAATTTTCCTCTTAGAAAACTACTTCTACATTCTATTGTTTTATCGTGTTTTTTTACATACTTTAATCTGTTCCACTTTTGTTGCTTGAGTAACGATTAATTCCATCTGAAATTGCAGACAGTTGGTTTAGTATTGAGCATAATTAATGAGAAGTTAATGAGTCGCGGGTAGAAGAAGTGGTTTTTGTATAATCATTATTTTCTTCGATTACGGTTTTAAACAGGAAAAAGTCTCATTTTAAATAAAAAGAATATTATGAACATCTTTCATTCTGCATCAAATGACGATGTATCGCACTAAATATTTTTACGACTTTGGAGCATATACATATTAAGAATTATGTGTGGTGATTAGTGACGGTTAATCGATAATTATTCAAAAATCATGCGGTTTGGTTTGATGAAGGTTTCAGAAAAACATTTTCTTTATCGTGCCAACGTTTCGGTCTTTATTGAGATCATCTTCAGGGCTTAAAGTGTTTGTCTTCTGTGTAATTGTAGAATGGCACAATTTGAAGTTGATCTCAATAAAGATCGAAACGTTGGCACGATAAAGAAAATGTTTTTCTGAAACCTACATCACACCAGACCGCATCTCAAGATTTCTGAATAATTAAGAATTATCTTCCTTCGGCCAACGATGCATATATTCTAATCAAAGGTTTTGCGATCCAAACCTTAACAAATTTAATGTTAATTATTATCCAGTATTATATATAATGTGGGAAATTCAAGGCCCGACAAACAGCAGAGGTCATCCTCTACCCATCTCGCGTAACAATAAAAAAACAAAATTTAACTTAATTTTTACAATTAGTTCATTTAAATTTACATTTACAATTACATTTAAATCAGTCAAATTTTATGAGAAATATTAAAGTCTTCAAAGCAGCTTTTTCAGGGTTCAGCGGAGAGCCGGTGTTTGAGAAACAACGTGCATTTGTAAATAAGTTGCGTAATACATCATCAATGCATGTACGTTGAGAAATCTTAACAGGATGATCAAAAGTCCTCAGAATATCGAAGCAGCTATGAAATTATTAGAATTACATCGAAACTAGACTGCGGATGCATCTTAAATCTCCAAAATCTGGGAAACACAACAACCTGATAGTATAATGGGTTTCAGGACACGAGGAAATTTTGGGTAACAAAAAAGGAGACAGTGGCCATGGGACGATCTACAAGACCATATATAGGCACTTAACGTATTCCTGGGATAACAAAAGTAAACACTGAATAGATCCAAAAAAGACAAAAGGAGAAATAGTTAAACTCTAGGAGCCCTAGACACAGTAAACTTGTACTAAAGAATTAAAGATTCACGTTAACACCATGTGTATTCGCAGTAGTAACAAAAATGTAATTGTGTCGTGCAAACTAGGTACAAAACAGTTGTTTCCCTTGATTGTCATTTTTCTGTTAACTGTACACGAAATTTAAGATCCGAAAGAATCTCCATACAGAACCAAAAAAGACAAACGGAGAAGTGTCTAGGGGCGCTAGATACAGAACACTTTCAATAAAACAACCTCGCTAAGTCTAGGAAACTCATTACAACAGTTAGAGAAGGCTAAACTCCAAGGAGTGATAGTACTATTTACCGCTTTACCGGTAACGGCCATCTGCGATACATATACACAACATGGATATATTTAAAGATGAACCATTTTGTAGGTTATGAAATGGGGAAGAAAAAACATCAAAACCACTTAAAGGAGACATAATCTGGGAAACAAGAAAAACGATAATCGATGACCGACTCCTCTTAGGAAAAGGATCGAGTCGATTCCACTCTAAGAACCATGAAAGTACAATAAGCCAGAAGGCGGCAGTGCTTGGGGAACATGAACGCCCACTTCCAAGTCTCATTTCATCATCATCAGATATGTTATTTTCGAATTCCTAGCCGCTGAGATTCGAACCCAAGACTTTTACTTTAGAGTGAGTCGAGTGTCAATGTTCAACTGTTGCGGCCACCTTCGCACCTCAATGCAGCTTCAAAACTTCAAAAGCCCTTCTGTGTTCTGACGATGCAATTAATATGTGGGGGAAATCAACAGACTAAATTCGAAAGACTACTGTGATTTTTTTATTACAAAGTGATACAAATACCTCAAGACTCTAGATCTTTTACCTCTCTACATACACACACACACACACACACACATTAATAACGCCACACATTATTTTTGAAAAAGTTAACTATAAATATTTTCCAATTACCGGCACATAAATCGATGGAACTCAATACTTCTTGGTTCAAAGATAGTGCCCTTCATCAGCACTTTGAGTGTAGTATACTGGCCCTTTGAGAGCAGTTGTATATACAGGTGAGACTTACTTCATTAAGAAATATGATTAGAAGGCCGGATTTCAGTGGATGAATTTCTTTTACAATTTTCTCCAGCGGCAACTGTAGCGCCACAGCTGCTTCTTTACAGAATCGTGGCATGTTGGATTACACGGACCTCTTCAAATGCCCAGTTATTCTACAGTGTCTTGGTCAGAATCCTGCTAGGATTCAAAGTTTTTCACTTTTTCCTTTAGTGCATTCTGTTTTTCTTTCCTTCAAAAACTTGCTAGAAGGTTCTTAGACGGTTTGTGTCCAATGAGCGAATTCCATTGCTTCCCCATTGTCATTTTGTCTAAGATACATTGATAGCATGAATCCCTACCAGAAGGGCTCAGGAACATCATCTGTATAGCAGCCCCTTTCCTTTGCAAGGACAGTTGCTCTCTAGTCCTACATGTCCTGGGACAAAGCAGAAGTTATGTTCATTTTTCATACCTAATCTATTTAGTTTTGCGATTGAGCACCAACTTTCAGTTAATGATATTTGAACTAGTGCTTCTAATGGCTGCTACGCTATCTGAAATGATAGCTACATTCTTGTTTTTTGTTGCCCTTTGTTCAAATTGAACTGAGTACATCTCTCAATTACATGTACTTCAGCCTAGATAGTAGTTCAGAAGATAGTGATCTATTTTTCCATAGGTTCCGAGTATTTTGTTCCGGGACTACTCCTTGCGTTCTAGATCCATGAATGTACAATCAGATGGTGCAGTTCTCAACGGAGGGGTTTTTCCCTATTTACCATTCTTTTTTTGGTACTTAGATTTCTTCGGAAATTTGCTTGAACTGAAACATAGTTACATAGTAAATACATAGTTCATGTCTCTTGGGGCCATGAGTATCAGATGTTAGGGATAGGGATAAAAGAGGGGCACAAGGCTTTCTGCACCTCGACCAGAATCGATCTATTGTGCTCCCCTGTTGTGTATAACTCACTGACCAGCTTCAAGTTGTTAATCAGCCTCCATAGCTTTGCGAGCGACTCCTTGGTGTAGAATCTTGATTGCGGTTTTTCTTGTCCTAGTTGCAAGAACCTGCACATACATAGACCTTCACAGAAAAATAGAATGCGTTCTGAGGTTTCCTCCTCTTCCCGGCAGTATCTACACAGGGTTTGTTCTGTCTGTACTTCTATCCAGTGCATGTGCTTTCTTAAGAAGCAATGTCCGGAGTCAAACCAGAATCCTGGTTTGGTTGCGGTTGCCTTCCAGTAATTCTTTTGTAAGTTTTGCGGATGACCCTTCTATGAATCTCTTCTCATGCCTCATACCAATGTTATTGCTCCTCCAGGTTTTGGGCACATTAAGGCTTCCTGCTATGATGTATCCTCTTTTATGGCCACCGTAGGATTCAGAACCCAGTGAGTTCATGTTGGCCCCCTTTTTGGTCAACATCAACTTTTCGTTGCCTCTATGCCCCGAGCGCCCAGGGACCCATGCCAGGGTGCTTTTATTAGTGTTACCGACATTCGTCCGGGCCTCCATGCAGTTCCAAATACTATTTTCCTTCACCCCGCATGAGGCTAGGGCCTTTAGTGCTGCCTGACTGTCAGAGAAGATGCCTACCTTCCGGGAATGTATTCCTAGCCTTTTTATTTCTCTGGCGCGGTGTTCAATCGCTATGATTTCAGACTGAAAAGCAACATCTTTAATGATTGACTTTAGTGTGAACAAGGTTTTTATCAAAAATTATGAAATCAGCTTTTTCTGATAAAGTTTTGATGAAGGGGATTAATCTTCGAAAGTTCGAAGAAGAAACATTTTTTATTGTCGGATTATTCATATCAAATTGATTTTTTTTAGATACCCGGTAGATAGATAGATACTGGAGTAGTTCCGCTTTAACACTGGAGCTCTATACGGCTTAGGGAGGTTGAAGCATCATTGGCTAAGAGATCTCTTGTAAACCGTCTCCATCAGAGATGGCCTAATCCTGTTTTAATGTAACATTATCTTTCTAAAAATTGGAAAGCGTTATTGCACGCCATGGCTTTATTAATACTCATTTTTTATTAAAATAATAATCTTCATTTTGTTTCTTTCTCCAATATGCATATAAAATGAAGAACGATTTTGGCATTGATAATTTCACGTTTCATTCCCAGAAAGTGGTAATTAATCCATCAGATTTTCTTCCCATTTCTCGGTCGAAGGAGAAAAAAGTAAAATTCGAAGGGGTTTCCATGCGTGCCAAACGGGGGATGGCACTTTCTACGGGACGGGGAAATGGGCCGAGAGCCGCCCCCTCCACGGTCTTAAGGCCCGGGGTATAAAACCGTCGGCAGACTCTTCACGGTCGTCACAAGTCCGCCATCCATCCGTCGTCGACACCAGCCCAACAATGGTCTCACTCAGGTAAAGTGGAAAAATAGTGAAAAGTGTTTCCCCTATGGAAAAGGGAGGGTTAAAAGGGATAACTAGTGTTGACGGACTTTTTTTTAAATTCACAAATAGAAAAATTGCGAAAAGTGCCCGGGCTTCGATGCGACTTACCAACAGTGATTTGAATTTTTTCATTTTTTTTTTAAGACAAAACCTTACTATTTTACACACCGAAAAACACATTGTGGATTGATTTCAATTGAACTTTATAAAATCCAAATTAACGAAAATGAAGCATTCAGAGCTTATGGATACTTTATCAATATGTAGCTAAAACTACTTACTTCATTAGGTTTTAAAAAAATATATATTTAAAATAATCTTTAGTATAAACACATGTCATTAGAAACTAAATATCACTCTAATTTTCATTAAATGAAACTTTTTTATAATAAATTTTAAAAAATTCTTCTTTTCGCACTTATCTGTATTTCTTTGGCTTTGGATTTATATATGCTCAAATCTGCACATGTATGTACATATAACACACATGATCAGAATTAAGCCTTTACTTCTCGCTTTCCACCGGCAATTCCAGCTTTTGCAATTTACAATAAATTGCCGGCAGATCTCGAGAATTCACCACCAATCAGGCGTCAAACTTCTTATACGCCCAGGATGAGCTCCGGGTGCTGTCAACAGCCAGGTCATTTCAGCACTCAACACATTTTCAAGATCCAAATCCATTCACATTCTCATTCATTATTAGATACATTCTTCCTATTTACATACTATTCACTCAATTAGGGTGGTGGACTTGATATACCTCCGCCACACCCTTATATCTATTATACAACCCGATGGGGTAATCAATATTTGGCCGTCGGCCCTCTCACACTACATATTCACGCTAATAAATACATTCACGCTCAAGACATCATAGGGACACAAAACTATCATTACTGTATACAATAAAACAACCCTGTTTCCTCCAAAAATAGGAGCAGGGGACCCTGTTACTCATTTACGTGCCCAGGCACACATCTCATGGTGGCATTCCTCCACACTCCCTATATAGACCCAAGGAGTAGTACTACCTTTCTTATATGAGTGACATATGAGTCAGGTCCTACGAGGGTCACCTATCGACAATGCTCTTGATTTTCCCAATATGCTCTTCTTGTTTATTTTTATTATTTTTTCTATTGTTTAAAAGTTGTAGTTTGTGTTGTTTCTTCTATTTTTATGTGCTAGATGTATCGAGCATCTACTCGCGGATACTCTGAATCACGGTATGGTCTTGATGAAAAAGCAAATTCAGTTGTTAGTGCCAAGCTTTCGACATGCTTTAAAGGCATCATCAGAATAAAATAAAATGACTCGATTTGCACAGACGATCTCAAATTTCTTTGAAGATCGATTCAGCCCCAAAATTTTCAAGGTTTTTAACGTCACAATACTTTATTTTGCGATGATGATGACCTTAAAATAGGTAGCTTGACAGTAACAACTGAATTAGCTTTTTCAAGACATATACGCCGTTATTCATAATGTTCGTTATTTATTTTTGCAAATTTCTCGATATTTTTTTGCTTTGAAGTATAAACTGTCCTCTGGTTACTTTTGTGAGGATATGTTTAATTAAATTTCTCTTCCTGGGACAGAAAAATTTCGTATTTGACTACTTTTTTGTCAGGACTATTTTATTTTGGTAAATTATTTTCTGTACGCTTTGCTCAAATTTTCCCTACAGTGGGCTGCGTTTGAGCGTTCAAATTTAATATTTTTCGTTAACTTTATAAAGATACGATGTTTAATTAAATGTCTCTCCGAATCCGCCTAATCTCGCGTCGGTAGAATTTGAAATTTAAACATTTTTATTATTGAACAGGCCCAATTGTTTTTAAGAAAATTCTTTCCACTGTCGTAAACTGTGCGCAGTATGGATGTCTGGGTTCTGTTTCGTTGTTCAACCCCGCATGCTGTGGATTTGGAGCTCGCAGAAAATAATAAATATCTTGTCTTATCTGATATTTCTTTGAAGTATTTAGTAAAACGTGAAAAGACAAACAAAAAGAGAAATAATCAGCATTTATCTGTTACATTTTCGTATTATCTACAGTTTTCCATTATCCTTTATTATTTTTTATTACATGGAACTTTCCAGGAAACATTTCGGAAAGATTACTGTTTTTATACTTTTCAGTTTTCAAGTATTATTTTTATGTGCTTTGTAGTATTTTAAAAGTATTCTATATTAAACAGATTAAACTATTACCAAAGATTCGCCAGAAAAAGATATTTACAATTTTTTTTAATCAGCTTTTGCATTATACGGATTAAATTGATTTAAATTATAACTAAAAAATTGAATGATACTAAAACAATGAAAATACAGAATTGATATACTTTTTGTTAGTTAATTTAATCATTAGTTAAAGACTAACACGTTTCTTCTGTTTTGGTTTATTTTTATTAATTTTTTTTATTCGACTTTACAACATCGCCATTGATTAACCATTTTCTAAATCTAAAAGACTAGTTTAAAAAATTTTGTAACTTGGCCGTTTCCTTTATGGTCTTCTTATCTATCATCAATGTACTACGCAGACGAAAATATTCGGAAATGAACAAGCTTGAGGTTTATCACTTCCTAGTCTGCAAGAAGAAATTTTATAGTTCAGAAAATTTGACACGTAGAAAATTTTTTGAAAAACGACACTTTTGTCTGCTAAAGTCATAGAGAATAAGTAAAATTATTTGTAGCATATTATCGATTAATATTCAAATTCAAATTGAATACATAATCATAAAATGCCTGAAGTTTCGTACAGAAAATGTTCAGTAAATATTAAATAGATAAAATTAAAATACACGTCGCCAATAATCTTCATAGCTTACCAAATTTTGTTTTGTTGTATTTTGCACAGATTTGAAGAAAGATTTTATAATTTCATAAACACTTAAAGGAGTTTCAGATACACTTTTTTGTGCATTGAACTACAACATACAATTCATACATACATTTCACTGTGTAAAGTTCCTTAACTATTCTGTTGAGAGGTATTGTTTTTCATTTTCTTATTTTTAACACGCCCTTGCGATATACAATTAAATTGAAGCATATTAATTTTCATGTTTTTAAACAAAACAGTAAAATTTTCATCAACTTCAAGAGATTTGAACGGCCGGATAGAAAAGGCAAAGGTGCGTTCAACTCTCCACGATTAATTAAGCCGGTATTTATTTATTAAACAAAAAAATATATGTATATTCAGAAATGTTCACAGTCCTTTAACATTTGCAGGATTGGCCGATATTTTTCGCCCTGCTTAGCCCGGTAATTATAGCCGGCCGACCGAGTGCACCGGCCGGGTATAATAAACAGTAATAACAGTTTTCTCCTCCTCGGCCTAGCACGCCATTCCTCTCTGATCATCGGGAATACCAATCTTAATAAAAACATATTAATAAAAAAACATTCGGGAAGAAATAAAACCCAATGTTGATAATCAGCGGGGATAGGCGGACCAGGGTTTATATACAAGACATTTTTTTCTGGTGTACCTTCTGACTGAAAATCTTCACTTTCCACAGTGATCTAACCGCATTTATCGTGAAGTTAGATGTTTTTTTAAACAGAGTATTAAGAGTTTTTCGGTTGACCTTGTTGGTTGAAAATTACCCTGGTTTTGTTCGTAATTATTACAATTATCCGTACTGAAATATACCCAGTTTATAGATTGCTTTATTTTGCTTAAATCTTCGTTTGATAAAAGATGCTGCTATAGATGGAAAAAATCTTTTATTGAGCTTAACCTCAAAGAACCTTTAAACCTCCATTTTCAGCATATCATATATCATTGGTGTATTTAAACGAGCAAAAACGGAATTACGGGAAATGTCACATATAAAGAAAAAATTTCAGTTTAATCATGGATTAACGTTTAACGGTTCCATCTGTTGTAATGTAGTTGTTATTTCTTAGGTGTATAATTTTGAGCTTTTACGAAAGAATAATGCACGAAAAAATGAGATTGAGTCTCAATTTTCTCGCTTTCGTAGTCTTCTATGCCTGGTAAGAACAAATTATCCTCCTATTCGGGTCATACTTCCCAATTGGGTCGGATGATGCAGATGTACCTTCATTCCAGCCGTCTCTGGAATTAATTCCAGCCGTCTTAGCCTAGTAATCGCCAAATGACGGGGGGGTCATTACCGGAGGATTTAATGTGAATTAATACCGACGGGCGCCTTGACCGTGGCGGCCCTCATCTTCACGCCCGTGACTAACTGGCCCATGTGCCTGCCCTACGCAGCAGGAGCTGCTCGCTTTCTTGTCTGCTATAATAATTGCCCTTTAATAAGACGGTTTCTCTTTTTAATAATTTCAACGAAACAATTTTACGTAGATGAGAATCCTCGTTTTTTGCTGAGTTGAACTCGTACATCCATACCTTTAGATTCTGCTATTATTTTAAAACATCTACACCTAAATTGAGTTACTGGCATTGATTTGGATTATCTTAAAAGAACTTTATTTAAACTGATTTTATTTTTAAATCTTATGCTTCGAAGTGATATAAATTCTTAAAATCCAGCCTTACAATCATGTTTTTTAACTATTTTATTTGTAAGTATACATCCAGGTAAGTCATTTGCTCTTCATGGGTAGAGCTTAGCAGTTACAGTATCAACTTTACAGACTTAACTTACAATTCACAATAATCCAATCTAATCCAGAACGTCCTGTTCTAACCTGGGATTAAGCTTTCTTTAGTGTCGAGAGAATAAACGGTTTAGTAAAAGATTTTACGGTGACCAGTTGCTTTGTAAAAGTCCTTTTTACATGTTCTTAAGTTGTTATAACAGTTAGTGCCTTTTAAAAATGTTTATTGCTAAGGAATCAGACTTTATCTGTTGCAAGTCTAAGAACTTTATTTTTTAGCAAGATTGGTTTTTGGCTGCTACTCCTAACACAAGACATGCAAACCAGGTCGAATTCAGCTTTAATGTATTATTTTAGGCCTTCCAATCTGATAATTTTTTCCAAACATTGAACTTTTTAGTGGAGATTTTTAAATATTTAGTTTAATTTTTCAATTTTTCATATGCAAATGACCATGGTGTGCCTATGGCTGGTTTAGTCGTAAGGATAGTGATTAAAGAAGCTGACACAAAGCATTCTGCACAAGGCCAGCAGTCTTCAGTGTAAATCTTAGGCTTTTCCTCTCCTGGTTGCAGGATCTGCATCTGCATAGACCCTCACAAAAACATAAAACGTGTTCTGTCTCCTCTTCTTCCTGACAGTGTTTATACTGCTTGTGATAATATTCGGTGCATGTACCTCCTTAGGCGACAACGTACTGTCATACCAAACAGAATACTGGTTCTGTTTCGGGTTTCTTCCAGTAATTCCTTTTAAGTCTTGCGGATGGCATTATTATGAATCTTCTCGTGTGCGCGATGGTTTAACTTCACATTCAGATTAATTATTTTGATGTTATTGAAAATTTTATTTATTGTACCATGGTATTTTTGTGATCATGGGGTCTTTGTACTCCAGTATTTGTTTTAACCGCTAACCTATTTTTCTTGAGTATAAAACTTCAATTGTTCAATCTCCATTAAACTCGTTCAGAAGAATAAAACAAAATCTTGGTCAAATCGTAAAAAAGCGTTATTGATAGAAAGTGCATTTCCAATCAAAAATAACGCCGATTGGTTTTTGAACAACGGTGAGAATAAGTGGCTACGACCTACCTCGGCAAGAAATTTTCCGAAACATTTCAACGGTTGTTTCCACCCGTATTAAAAAGTATGACGGGTCGTAAATGTAATCAAAGGTCAACAGGATGACAAGCAAGCGAACACACCAAAAGAAAATGATCAGCAGAAGATTTGCCGCGAATTTCTGTACGTAATGACATGCCTCGTGTTTTTTTAAATCTTATGTTCAAAATAAAAATTATAATATATTTTTTATTGTTACCATTGATGGCAAACTATTCCAAATTTGGTTAAATTAATCGACACTTGATCACCTACCCTGAGACTAAGAACCATCACCAATTTTACCCAAAAATACGTGACAGAACGGAAAAACATAATCTTTTCCTGGGTATTATTATTATAAGTCTAGATTAAGTTTTAATTCGTCGCAAAAATAATATTAGGTTTTAAATCTCAAGATGACAAATGATATCTATCTACTTATCTTTTTTCTCTTTTTTTTACGAGGGTTCGCAACAGCAGAGGTCATATAAACCCTCAGGGTGCCGGTGTTTTTGAAATCTTGGTTGTTCTTCATCATTTTCTGAAAGCTATTGGTCTTTATCTCTCTCTTTTTTACCTTCTCATTCTTGGACTCTCTCTCTCTCTCACACTCTCTCTCTCTCTCTCTCTCTCTCTCTCTCTCTCTTTCTCTCTCTCTCTCTATTTTTACTCCTCTATATCATCCTATCTATCTATCTGTCCATCAATCCATCTATTAATTTATCTGTCAATCAATCATCTTTCTCTCCCTCTCTCTCTCTCTCTCCCTCTCTCTCTCTCTCTCTCTCTCTCTCTCTCTCTCTCTCTCTCTCTTTCTTTCCCTTTATCTATATATACCCCTGCTTCTCTTCTATGAATGTATTAGTCTAGTACTGACTAGAACTGATTACCCATTACATAAAACATGCCAGTAGGTTTGGAGGTAATATAAAACAATCTATCTATATATCTGTTGATTTAGTACATATTTACCCATCCATCGGTCTATCTACTTCTTCGTCTATCTTATCTACCTTTCTGGCTTTCGGCTTATTTCCCTTTACTTTTTGGACCGAACCATGTTATATTTTGATGAGTTCCGGTCCAAAGAGACAACATGACAAATTTTGGTCTTGAAATTATTATGCTCGTACATAGGAATTGCGGTCACTTCGGTTTTTCTTTGATCATCATCCAATTCCTCCTAATAAACATATTTTCCAATGCATTTGTCCTAGATTGTCGGAGCCGCACGCATTACGTCCCGTTAAATGTAATCCGATGACCAGGCGTTTATCCTCGGGGATAATGAATGCTCTCGCCTTGTGAGCAGGGTCCCGGATGGGGAAAAAGTGCGTCAACATGTTTTATTTTTGTTCCATTATAGTGAAACCACCGTGTCCAGGCGACCGTAACACTTCACTTTCAAAGAAGGTCAAAAAGGGGTAATAATTTAAAGAAAAGATGCTCTCTTTATGGCTTATGTTTTAAACTCTGCGGTTCAGCTGAGGATCGTCAAGAGGCTTGCGGTGACTACCTCCTAGGTTCAAACCTGTAATCACTGACCAAAAGTGCAACATTTCAGGGTCAATCATTTTCCTTCCAAAAATTTATTTGTCGTAAGACTATAAAAACTTTCCATTGATCAAACCTACTTCAACTACAAAGAGATAACATCAATGTACAATTTTCATTTAAAAGACGAATAATTTAAACATAAAGAAAAAAAAGTAATTATTGAAAATTCTACAGAAATTAATATAGAAATTACAATATTCTGTTTAAAGTATACATATAAAATACAATAGTTGAACTAAGTAGCACGTAAGCAATACTTGTGTATAAGTAAACAACCACAGTGAAGCATGCAAACGTGAAAGTAAGCATTATGGTAAACCTAAACATCATTACTTACACATATAAAAACGAAACAATTGCATTTTATTTTCCTCCAAATTGCCAAAATAATTCTCAATATAATCAAGAAGTTGAAAATGGCAACAAAGGGACAATTCGAACGGTTGTAGGTTAGATGGAGAGTTGGTGTCCAGGAAATCGAAGTTACGGTAGCTCAAGTGGCAGAGCAGCGGCGTATCTAGCCAAAGGTAGTGAGTTCGAATCCCGCTGATGACACTGACTTTTTTATCTCAACCAAAACCTTACATACAAAGAATAATTAATTGAAAGAAATAATTAAGCAGGCTGAAGAACATTAACCATGAGTATACATAAAGGAACATTGCAAACTTAAACAAAAAAAATACAAAAAAGTTTTCTTTAAATGATTTACATTGAATATGAACAGAAAATAATTTATATATTATTATATTTTGAATACATTTTAAAATCCTTTTGGCCAATTATTTTGCCTTGGTTGGACAGCAGTTTTTAATATAATGAAATGCAGTTGTGAATCTGAGCATAATTTTTGACAGTCCGGTTTTAATAAATATTGTGATTTTTCGTCAAAGAGAAAAACAAGTCTCTTGTTCCTACAATTTAACACCGGGGACTGTAAATTTTCTGTTTATTTTTCTCCTTTTTATTTAATTAAGTACATTTCAGTTATTTTTATTTACATATTCATTTTGGCCCGAATTGTTACAAATTTTCTACTTTTTTATTCAAGGCGACCCAAACCCTAGAATAATATTTATTTTGTTCTTCTTCGTTTAATAAAGCCTCAAAATTTTTAAAATATGTCGCGGATTTGTTAATAATTTCTCCAACGGATTAAGGGAATTAGAAGGAAGATTTGTCATTTCAAACAATGGTTCGACTCTTTATTAACGTTTTGTTATTTTCCAGGTTATTCTTTGTAGTCGCCATAGTCGGATCTAGTTTAGCAGCTGAAGAAAGTATATCCTCCGGTCTCAGGCTAGTTTACTCCGTCTACAGGCAATGCGAAGAATCCGAAGAACCCGTCACCTGCCTCAAAGCCAGGGCGGTCAAGTTGGTAGACCGCGCCATCTCTTCCCCCGCAATCCCCTTGGTCGATGGTAAGTGTGCCGCTACGAATTTGTACATATTTCAATTGAACCATTTCCGTTTTTTTATAGGAATTACCCTTGTAAAGAGGCCTGAGTCGGAAAGATCGCTGAAAACACCCCTTGAACCCCTGCCCGTCGATTTGGAAGCTAGGAGCAGCAAAGTCGACGACCTACTCTGGGGCAGAGTCACATCCTTCTTGGACACACATTCCGTCCAGTTCAAACTGCCCAACTTCATCAAGGATGCCGTCTACGAGAGCGAAGACGGTGAAGGTGAACTGATATTTTTACATAACATTCCGCAATAATCGATATAGCATAACTGTTTTCAAAACGATTGGACAGTCCTTTTTTTATTGATTTAGTGAAATCCTTTCTCATTACACTGAATATTTAGAAATTTGAACTGTCTGAGCGAGTGTTTAAAATTTTAACATTTTTGCCTCAGTTTGCTCATAGATTGTTATTTTGGAAAAGCGTAAGAGCAATAGTTGGTTTTTAAGTTGGAACTATAAGCCATAGTAATAAATATGTAGTTTAATCGTTTCCAGTCATTTTGGCCTGGCTATCCTGCTGTTTTCGACTATCAGGCGGGTTTCACCTTCTCGCTATCATCAACTATTTTTACTGCGAGGATAGGCAAACCAAATTGGTCGGTAACGTCTAAGCTTCAGGCTCATGAAGACCACAAGAGGAAATAATCCATTAAAAATTTAACCCTAAATTTGGAAATAATACAAGAAGATTTTATTCAATGATTTTACCGTGTTAAGGGAGGAAAAACATTAAATAAACTTTAAATAATAATTCTTATGGAAAGTTGCTATTTACTTTCTACAGTATGTAATCATGAGAGGTGTAAATATTGATCAGCATAGATTCCAACTATTGAAGGATCAAGATTTAATAGCCATGGACACTGCCATAGTCCTACCAAATAATCAATGATCACATGAGGATTAAAAGTGATCAATTAGATCCCTGATGTTTTAATAATAGTTCTGTAATATTGTTATGTATTAAATTAGTATTTATATATTTTTGTGTGTTTTAGGTCGTGGAAAGAAGAAGAAAATGCTCCCCGCTCTCCTCCTCGGTTTGATGCTCAAGGGATCCATGCTCGCCATGGCGATGAAAGGTCTCGCTTTGCTCGCAGCCAAGGCCCTCATGGTTTCCAAATTGGCCCTCGTCCTCGCCGGTATCATCGCCCTCAAGAAACTCTTCTCGTCCGGAGGAGAAAAGACCACGTACGAAATCGTCAAACAACCGATCGTCTCCCATTCTCACGAATACTCGTCCAGCCATGAAGGGGGCGGCTACGAACACGGAGGCTACGGGCGCTCTTTCGACGCCCAGCCCTCTCATCGCATGGCTTACAGGGCATATGCGCCTAAAACGGGCGAATAGGCCAGACGCGACTGACAGCGCACACCAAAGATATTTATTGTACATTCTATTTATGTAATTTATTGCTCAAAACGACGACTGGAAACGGACTTGACCCATAGGGACGACCCAAAGACGCATAATTTATGTATTTATTTATTTAAAATTACAGCGCTGGTTAATTTATTCAAATAGAAAACAAATGTTAAAGCATCGCATTGTCTTATTTTATTGAATCCTAGTTTCTTTTCTAATTATAATCCCATATATAAAATAATTCCTTCAGAAAACGTGTACATTTATTATTATTATTATTATTATTACAATTAATTAAGGTTTCTAGTTGAGATAAAAAAGTCAGTGGCACGAGCGGGATTCGAACCCACGATCTTCGGCTAGATACGCCACTGCTCTACCACCTGAGCTACCTCGATCCACTCGGACACTAACTTCCCATCTCAACCCCACCTTTTGAATTTTCCCTCCTTTTTGGCATTTTTATCTCAACTAAAAACCTTAATTAATTGTAATGTATTAATTGGTCAAACGGATCACGAAATTAGTGAATTTAATGAATTATTATTATTTTTAATCCATTCATGTTTATTGGTCTAATTGACCATATTAATTATTCAATTAATTTTTTTTAATCTAAGTTCTTGGTTGAGATGAAAAAGTTTGTGTCTCGAGCGGGATTCGAACTCACGACCTTCGGCTCAATACACCGCTGCTCTAACCACTCACGATAGCTAAGTGGTTAGAGCAGCATATGTTGTGGCAATCTAGGTTGTCAATTTGGCCTTAAAGATATATGTATCACCACTAAGCAGGCATGTTTAAAGTTCAAAAATCATCGCAGACAGCTACAAACCGTAGGAATTACTTGAATTTGGTGACAATACACATATTCGGGGTAAAACAAGGTTGAAAAACTCTTCAATTATTCAGAGTTCACAAAGTTCAGTCTTTGCAAAACTGACCAAAAACGAACTTTGCCAGATGAACATCATGACGATAAGCTGGGTGATGAAACATGCTGTTTAGTCAAAATTATATAAAGTTAAAAGTATTTTATACTTTTTAAAAATTTCAATTCGTTATTTTTTTTTTATATAAGGTCTTGGTTGAGATGAAAAAGTTAGTGTCACGAGCGGGATTCGAAACCACGACCTTCGGCTTAATACGCCGCTGCTCTAAACACTTACCGTGAATGGTTACAGCAGCGGCGTATTAGGCCGAAGATCGTGAGTTCGAATCCCGCTCGTGACACTAACTTTTTCATTTCAACCGACCTTATATAAAAAATATAATTAATTGAAGTAAATAATTGAAATTATTTTTAATGATTTTTCTAGCAAAACATATATTATTGACTGTTTAAATTTTTCTAAAAAATAAATGCAACGACCAACAACAAAGTTTTAAACAATTAAACAGTATACAAATGAATTATATAAATTTCTTATAAAACTAGTTTTAATTTTAACAATAATTAGTACGTATTACGAATAATTACTGTGCTTTACAAAAAAATGTTACAATTACGAATAGTAATTATGCCTAAAAACATTTCTAATATCTAAACATTATCCATATAATTATTCAGAAATCATGAGATGCGGTCTGGTGTGATGTAGGTTTCAAAAAAACATTTTCCTTATCGTGCCAACGTTTCGATCTTTATTGAGATCATCTTCGGGGCTCAAAGTGTTGTTTTCTGCGTAAGTGTGCCATTCGTGCGTGTCGTGTTGAGAGTGCACTTACGCAGAAAACAACACTTTGAGCCCTGAAGATGATCTCAATAAAGATCGAAACGTTGGCACGGTAAGGAAAATGTTTTTTTTTGAAACCTACATCACACTAGACCGCATCTCACGATTTCTGAATGATCATCGACTAACGGTCCTAATCACCACACATGATCCATATATTGTCACTATCAAGCATCCTACAAAATGTTATTAAATTTACAATTTATTTCCCGTATAATCTCATGTTAAGATATAAAATGAAAGGGTGACCGATCGATTGATTATCTTACAATTAAATTTCTAATTCCATTATGCTTTCAAATCATAAATTTCAAATAGTTATAAATTTACGTCTATATTTGTTAACTTCGTAAATTATTAATAGTAGTTTGAATGTCCTGATGAAGGGAAACATATTATTAGAAAGCTCAACGAAGCCACTGATTTCTTTCGTTGAAATTAGTCCTATTTTTTCCTTTTTGATGTAAAATTAAAAAACAGAGATGTAGAATGATCATGAGTTCATGATCTAAGCGCTTCTTCAACAACAATACTAGGGGCATAATTATTGTGAAAAACAATCTTAGTGGACACTTAAATACAGAAATATCGACATTGAATTGTTGGGTTAAGCATGATATTATTTTCAATATTAAAATTTTTATAGGCATGGTAGATGCCTCATTGTTTATGAAGATAAAATATCAAAACTCGTCTTACAGATTAAACCAGCGAAGATAGATGGACCAAAATTATCGACAAAACTGCAAGTTCATCTCCGATTTATATTTTACTTGTGCCTGTTTTCTTGGTTGTTAGTTGTTTTATTAAACCTGTGGAGGGAAGCTTGATAAATTAATCGTCCATTTTTGAGTAGAAATACTTTGACTGAATATAGAAAAAAATATTTTTTGCATTGTATAAATTCATTTGTTAAATTTAAACAATGTTTGTAAATCCCAGGCCCTGAAGATGATCTCAATAAAGATCGAAACGTTGGCACCATAAAGGAAATGTTTTTCTGAAGCCTACATCATACCAGACCGCATCTCACGATTTCCGAATAATGATCTACCATGTTTTTTACAAAAACACAAATACTTTTTTATATTTGTAACGTTTTCGATACTTTTTCCTGTCTCATCCTCAGCATTATTCTCATGCGGAGTGAAGTTGTAAACGAGGAGGCAGGTTCCTTCGTTGACCTTTTAATGAATGTATCCCCTTTATCTAAACTATGAAATATGATTACTAATTTAAAAGGTTTTCGGTAAGTACAATGTCATTAAAAATTGAAATTTTAAACTTTTTACCTGCTCAATGTATTTAAGTTATCTATGGTTTGAGAAAGCAAAAGCAGTTCTTCAAAATGCTAGGGAAAGTAAATACTACAAAATTGGCAATATCCCTATTCATTTTTGAGCAGTTTACGTGTCTAGGGAATTTTCCCAAAAACACCAAAAAAAAAATACAGGGAGAACAGTAGTTAAACTCACTCTGAATAATTTAAAAAAATGCACTGACATTTGTAATTACATTGGAAAATAGGGTATTCTAACTTAGTTAAATTACACTAGAAAAGGTTTTTAAAAAATTACATTGAGTTTAAAGATTTTAATAGAAATTTACTCAATATTAACCAATTTTTAGTATAGTATTCCTATGTTGATAATTCTTTAATAATATTAGATAACATCGTTGTCATGGTGTTATTTAAATTAATTGTGGGTACCATCACCGACATTTAGTAGTAATAAAATTAGTATTTTGATCCCTATGATTATGAAAATACTAAATATGGGTACTCTCAACACGACACACAAGAATGGCACAATTACGCAGAAAACCAACACTTTGAGACCTGAAGATGGTCTCAATAAAGATCGAAACGTTGGCACGATAAAGAAAATGTTTTTCTAAAACCAACGTCACACCAGACCGCGTCTCTCTATCTATAAATAATCATCGACTACCGGTCACTAATCACCACACATTATGAAAATACTTAATTTTCTTAGATCTTTTAATGTAATGTCCATGTCCCAGCTGTACTTTATATGTGTATGAAACTCAAGCCAACTTTTTGTACTTGGGCAGCAATATCAGTCGATATATGTATAAAATATTATAAAAACAAAACCAATATGTTTGAAAACATCTAAAAAAATGTTATAGATTAGTTTTTCACTGAGACACGAAAAAATCAGGCCTTATTAGGTTCCGAATAACGCGGCCATTTAATGTTGCTTTGAAGTATCATACCTGCATAAACTTGAAACATTTATTTATTTAAAAAAATACATAAATTAAATTGTACATTTTGGTTAATATATTTTATACATATTAGAACTACTTTACTTAGCTACTTTAATTAATAGTGCTAAAATACCGTATACAATGCAATTAGGATTGAACAGACATACCATGAAATATACAATATATATGTATATATATATATATATATATATATATTACAATTCTATAAACAATTATTTAGTATAAAAAAGTTGTTTTTTACTGTAAACTATCACTTTTCAGTTTTACTCTTACCGTATAATGTGCTTGCTAAGAATCTGCTGAAATCTTGTGATTAGCAAAGAAATTGAGTGCCTGTTGGGTTTATTTCTGTAGTAAACCTGTATTGTCGAAAAAATTCAAATTATTTTTAATCATTGCATTTACTATTTAAGTATTGACTAGATATTATCACAAAATTTACTGGCATGTTTTTGTAATGTGTAATCTGTTCTAGTTATTACTAGACTAATACATTCATAAAAAGAAAAGCAGAGGTATATACCAAGAAAGAGAAAGAAAGAAAGAGAGAGAGAGAGAGAGACCTAGAATGAGAAGGTAAAAAAGGGAGGAATAAACTGACCAATAGTTTTCAGAAAATGATGAAGAAGAACAACCAAGAGAGATTAGATAGATCTACTGATTGAGTGATAGATAAATAGATAGATAGATTGATGGATAGATAGATAGGAAGAGAGAGAGTGCGAGAGAGGGAAAGAAAATGAAAGAACGAGAGGTTGAGAGAAAAAGAAAGAAACAAACAAAGAAAAATTGAGAGAGTGATGGAAAAAGAAAATAGAAGCAGGGATAGACACAGAAAAAGAGAAAGAAAGAAAGAGAGAGAGAGAGAGGAACCAAGACTGAGAAGGTAAAAAAGGGAGAGATAAATAGGCCAATAGTTTTAAGAAAATGATGAAGAAGAGCAACCAAGAGAAATTAGATAGATATATTGATTGATTGATAGATAAATAGATAGATAGATTGATGGACAGACATATAGATAGAAAGATAGGGAGATGTAGAAAGAGATAGAGAGAAAGAGAGAAAAAAAGAAAGAACGAGAAATTGAGAGAAAGAGAAAGGAACAAACAAACAAAAAATTGAGAGTGATAAAAAAAGTGAGAG